ATGAAAATAACTTTGATCAGTATATTTAAAAAGTAAGAAAAACTGTCTGGCTATTTTACAGTCATTTAGTTTGTAGATACATTACCTACATTTAGGATACGATGTACATTGTAATAGTAGTAATAATAACAACAGCAGCAAACTGAAACCCTGCTTTGTAGCAGAAATTCTCCTGCATTAGAAACATAATGTTGTAGAATAAACTGAAGGCAGCAAATTTAGAAGACATATACCTTAAGATAAAATATAGAGTGAACACCTGATAAACAGATTCCAAATTTATTTCCATGTAATCTATGAACATTTGCTACAACCCCCAAAGTTTGATATATTATGCCATTTTTGAGCTCTATGAATGAAATGCTAGACAAATGGCAGGCAAGGGTACAAAGTTTGTGTTTTAATATATAAATCTGCTTTACAATGAAACTGTTTTCTCAGTAAGTAGAAGAAAACTAGCGAGTTCAGGTAGTCCTCGACTTACGATCACAATTGAGCCCAAAATTTCTGTTGCTAAATGAGACATTTGTTAAGTGACTTTTGTCCCATTTTACGACTTTTGTCACAGTTGTGAATCACTGCAGTTGATAAGTGAGTAAACTGGTTGTTAAGTGAATCTGGATTCCCCATTGACTTCGCTCATCAGAAGAGAACAAAAGGTGATCACATGATCCTGGGATGCTGCAACTGTCATAAATATGAGTCAGTTGCCTAGCATCTGAATTTTGATCACATGATCATGGGAATGTTGCAAAGGTTATAACTATGAAAAAGGGTTGTAACTATGAAAAACGGTCATAAGTCACATTTTTCAGTGCCATTGTACCTTTGAACAGTAACTAAATGAATTGTTGTAAGTTGAGAACTATCTGTATGTTGCTTCCTTTTAGCCATATAATTGAAAAAAAAATTTTTAAATGTTAAACAAGGCCATCAGAGTAATTAGGATGCTAGGCTTTCTATAAAGAAAGGCTACAGCACTTGTCTTTCAGAAAGAAGGTAGATGAAGAAAGTATAATGTGTATAAAAGATATGGAGAAAGGTTTTTTTAAAACCTTTTTTTAATTGCTAAAAGGAAGAAGTTCTGTAGGTAATCATAATTAAGCTACAGCATTTGCTACCAGTAAATGAGGTGATGGTCATCCATTTGATTGACTTTAAGAGGTAATTTCACAGATTAATTGTTAAGGAGTTCAGTGCTACTAGCCTGTACTCAAACAAATTCTTGAACTAAAACATCCAAGGCAAAGATTCACAGACACAGTTATTACATTTTTTCCCATTGCAGATATTAGAACGGCCCTTAATAACAAGCAGCTATAATACTTCTTTTAGACTTACTGTAAGGAGCAACTATTGATAGATGTATGGAAGGGGGGGGCAGGAAGGATAGATATATCTTGCCCCAAAGTTCAAATCCTGCTTGTTTCCTCACATCTTTATGTCATAATGGACTCTTAGCCATTCACTTCTCAAAGAAAAGTGGTTGGTACCTCTGCTTTATTGTTGTAATAGGTCAGTCTTGTGTCAGGATATCTCGAAAGCTATGAGAGATAGCTAGAGGAAGGCAGAAAAAAAGAACCATTATTGTAGTAATAAGGTGCAGGTGGTACACCTTTCATCTTGTGCAAATGTGGGTGGCCTTCAGGATATTGTACTATGTATGGTGAGAAAGATAAAATAATTATACCAGAAAGTCATTATTAATAGTATTTGCTTTTTATATTGGATAATTATTTATTTTAATTGCTTTCCTAATTGTTCTAATTAATATATTCATTAGAGGTTCTTCATCCTTGACTCATTGCATGTTTACATCCAACTAGTATCAGCCATGAAAAGCTTGACACTATCTCACATCATCACATATACAAATCTCTAGAAACAGATTTGCCATCTTTCCAAAACCAGTTGCTAAGGAATAGTGAGAGCAGTATTGCTTTCCAGCCTAACTTGTGAGATTTTCAAACATCTGGACAGCCAGAGGTTGATATATCTATAGCTCAATCTGACAAAGTTCTCCTTCTGTTCTAACATATTTTATTAAATTTAATTTAATTATGAAATTAAACCGTAAAAAAATAGAAGTGTAAGCAATTGAGAGAAGGATGGAAATGCAGCAAAGCAATGGCAGATATAACATAATGAAGAGGAGATGGATAGAGAGGAGTTCATTAACAATTTTCTGTATCTCATTAATGACAGCTCAGTTCAAGCTACAAAGAGCCTAGGAAAAATATATTCAAAATGTTTAACGATGTTATATGTCATAATGAATTCATTAATAAATGAGAACTGGAGGTTCTTATTTTAGTTTCCAGGATTCTATTCTGTTTTCTTAATATAAAACCACTAATGTTCGTAGTAAACTCTAAGGCAGAACACTCTTTGAAACAAAAAGTTTGTGGTATATTGGATGTCCTGAATGGACCAGTGAATGGGTGGGAGCAATGTCTTTGAGGAAAGGTTTTAGATAAACTACAATTTAAAAAGGTAAATTAGAATAAACAGGAAAAATGCATGATTCTAATGCAAACTGTAATAGAAAAACTGTGTAGAAGTGGGGGGGGGGGCGGTAAAGCTGAATTTAATTTTGAAAAATATGTGAAATTGAACAAAATAAACCTGACAGACTCATTTATTCCTACGATAAGTATATTCAGAATTGCAGATCTTATGTGGTGGATTAATTTTCTTTGAACTGAAATATTGTTGAAATTAGAACACTGTCAGTTGCCAGGACTACAGCAATTATTACTGAGCATTGCACTTTTGCTACTTGACTTGATTTTCTGTTTTTAAATAATTTTATTAAAAATTACAGTTGCAAAGATAAAACTAACACAAAATCAAAAAATAAAAATAAGGTGCAGAAAAAACAGAAAAATGAAAAAAATAATATGGTTTAAAAAGGAGGAAAAGAAATATATAAAGAAATACAGGTAGTCTTCAACTTACAACAGTTCATTTAGTGACTATTCAAAATTTTGTTTCAAATCTATTTGGCCCTTAGTCCATTTATAACTTTACAAAATCAAAGTTCTAATTACTCTTTTTCTGTTTATTAAAATATTTAATAAGTTCTTAAACTTGTATTTAAAGCACTGAAGGAAACCCAAGTGGACCCAAAAGTTCCTAATTGCTAACAGGTAGTTAACTGTGAGAGTGAGCTTGCATTGGGAATACAAGCATTCTCACAATCCGATGGACCACTTCACGAATTCTAATTCCTAGGCTGCTTTGGCAATGAGACACGCACACACTGCAGGCTGGGTGAAAAATGGTGGTTTCTGGCTAAACCAGAACACTTTTTATTAGGAAAGTTCAAAGAAAGCTAGTCAGCAGTTTAATACAAAGGATCTCACAGTATGTTACAAATCACTTCTTGATTACACATTAACTTCACATGCAAAATCCTTAGTCATGCATTCTTCAAACAGGGAGGAATTTCAGAGAGCAGTTTAAATCCTAACTACTCTTCTCACCCTCACGGCTTCAAGCCAAAGCCCATTTACAAACTTCAAACATCAATTTAATTCAATTCTCCTCTTTCTCTTTACCTCTGTTCACTTTCTTTTTCTTTCTCTCTCTCTCTCTCACTCTTTTATCACTCTTTCTTTACCTTACTCCAAAGTTA